TTACACACTAAAAACATTTACTAAATTTTAATAAATATTTCTTTGAATAATCCTAGTGGAATATTTACTAAAATATAAACACATATTTATTAAATACAAGAACCATTAGCTTGATTTAATTATAATTTTTTTTCATTTATCTGAACATTTATTCACCGTAAATAAATATTCCGCCAGGACTATTCAAAGGAATATTCAATAAAATTTAATAAACTTTTTTCTCAGTATATAAAAATGAGATGAGTTATTTGCTAGTTTTAGAGCTTATGATAAAGCTGTGGTAAGACTCTCGGCGACAATGTGGATCATTTATACGCGCTATAATTGGCAGAAAAGCGGAAATAAGAGTTTACGAGCGATCTTCGCGATTAGCTGAGAAAAGACAAAAGTTGAAATATACACGCGTTAGATACAAACATTGGTTTACGAGCTGATGACAACTGGAGAAGAGAACCGGGGAATCGCTGCGGGGTTTCGTCGACGCTCAATTCAGCAGTTGAGTTTAACGTGCTGTCGTCTTTACTAAGACGTAGGAAAGATGTGTCCGCCCATCTTTAACAAGATTGCTATCTAGTATCGCCGCGTTAAGCCAATTTACTCTCGGCGTTGCGCAACGTTTAGATAATTTATCGCGACACTGAGTCTTCTATTCTTACTTCCCTCTTCCGGCTTTCGCGTCGCGCGCGAAAGCTCGCGAATTTCTCGGATGTCTCAAGTTCTACAGTATTCATTAACGATTTTGCGACGTTCCTCTGTACGAGTGGGTCAAAATAACTCGAGAGCGGATGGAACAGTGAGTTAACCGGTCCGGGAATAACTAACTGGTAATTACGACGATCTATCATTACAGTTGCGCCGCGTAACATCGGGAAGTGCAATAATCTTGCGGATAATATTTATACACATAATTGTACCTCCAAGTGTCCTGGGTATAACCGAATAATTCATACTTTAGAAGCTGTACTATTATTAATTCGTTACTAACGCACATCCGTCGAGACCTCAGTGACGCTTTTCTCGCAATGGGGTCAAAAATCTCGGTCAAAAGGCAATGTACCCTGTAGTTAGCGAGGATTTCATCTCATTATCACGTGCCCGTAATAATTAATCCTCCATCTCGTGTTGCGAGCGAGAGTGAAATAGATATGTGTCGGTGTCGTGATGTTACGCAACCAAGCCTCACTATGAAACACAGATGTCGAGTGTGTGCGAGTAATTCAACGAAGTTTTTATGTCGGATATGAAAAGAATTTTGTAATCCGAATGGAAGTTATTACCGTACGAAAATTTAAAAAAAATTATCCAATATTGAGCGAAAAAAACAATTTTACTTTTGTTATGTCAAATAAAAGTGAAATTTATTCTCGTTTTCTGAGCTCACTTTGAAATCTCTTCACATTCCTTGTCGCAGATAATATGTGCCTCTTACTGAATTTTCCATTTGACATTATTTTCGACACTACATGTAATATTATTATAAAATATTTCCTAAAATGTAATAATGTTTAAATATTAGATATTAAGTATAATACAATGATCAGTATGATCACATTGTGGAAGCATCGTTACAACATATTTTTTAATAATAATTAATTTATATATTATTATATGATATATGTTTAAAATACATATATAATGTAAGTTATAAACACGCTAGAGATCCTCTAGCAAGTCTAGTCACGATGCAAACATAGCAACAACATTTGATATGACAACTCTTTACAATACATGTATAGTAAATCATATACGGTTGATCCTATATACTCTGTAATATATAGCTATTTCCATCATATTTATCTCATATTTATTTCATCGAAAAGATTACTATGTGATCAGAGTTTTAAATTTACTTAAAGAATCTCTAAGCAAAACTATTAGTGACTTAAATGGAAAGGAAACTGAAAATCGTTCAAAGAACATGTTAATTTTTAAGTCGTTAAATCCTTTGCTGTCCTGTATTGGACTAGACCGTTTATGGTAATCTTTCTCATAATTCTTCAAACATTCTAATCAAAACATTAGATATAATCAATAAATTACATCAAATCTCCATTAATTTCTTTAAATAATAAAATCACTTTGATTTATATTAGACTCGCCGTTTATTATTAGATGTAGAAGAAAATACTCACTTGTGAAAAATAATTTAAACCGCAAAAAGACGAAAATGGCTCTACGGTCTTATATATATTTTAAAATTACAGCAAGAAAGAAAAGGATTTCGTAATAGCTCGTACAAGAATAGGTCATATAAAAAAAAATTCTTGCTAATTATACGGTAAGGGCATCGCACGACTTCGCGAACAGACTCGACAATAGCACGACGTCGCGGCGCCTATGTTGACGACCGGACTTTGGACTTGGCGTTACGTCACCGTTCGTCATTAATATATTGTGGGCCACTTTAACCTGGCCTATCGATATATCATTGCACTCGGAGAGAGTGCCCAGTGTGATATAATCCCGTCGTAAATTTGCTAAACGAGGCAAATAAAAAAAAAAAGTGATGGCAGTACGCTCGCGCGCGGATCTTTCTTCCTGTCTCTCGAATATCAAAATTCATGGTGCGCAACGTTGCGCACGGGCGTCAGATTTGCAACATTCATCGGCGATACGTGTCTCCTCCGAAACGCGGTGCATGCACACTTTTACCGTAATTTACGGCGCGAAGCGTCGCTCCATATGTTCCCGGGGTCGTGAATTACGAGGCTGCGGACCGCGTGGCTGTCTACGTACATACGAACACTTGCACCGATCCCGGTGTGCGTCGGTGCCGCGGTAATGGAGTCCATATCTTCAAAATTTAACCTGAAAGCTTAGTACTTCGCGGAACAGAAGGGACGCTCGTATAGCGGTTTATCACGCACGCGATGGACTCGCCGCTTCTCGCGTGTCGACTCCGCGCGCGTTATCGGTTAAGAGGCTAGAACTATACCGATTTCTCATTCAATCGTCTCGACGGAAACCGCTCTATTTTACTGTGTAAAGCGTCACATAGAATCCTTTTAACGATACATCACTAGTTAATTTAAAGCCAAATGCATTGCAAGATAATTGCTCCTCCATTTACTTTCTCTCTTCCTTCGTCTCTCTCTCTCTCTCTCTCTCTCTCTCTCTCTCTCTCTCTCTCTAGCTCTCTTCCTTCTTCCATTGCTATGTTAGGTTGATATTTTATGTGTTATATGATAAACTTTTTAAACGTTTTAATTGGCTATAAGATAGAAAAAATTTCTTTATCCTGTAACCAATCAATAAGTTTCAAAAGCTTTGTCATACGACACATGAAATATCAGCTGGGCTAATATTTCATTTATCGTACAAATTTTTCAAATATATCGACTATAGAAATAGTTCTCAAATTTCTAGAAATTCTCTATGTTATAATCAATCAAACATTTGAAAAATTTATTGTATGACAAATGGAATATTAGCCTTAGAAACAGTTTTCAAACAGAAACAAGACTTTCCATTCAAGCAATTCCGTTAAATTTAACATACATATCACGAATACATGCCGGTTATCCGACGTAATTAAAACGTAATATTCCATGTTTAATCGCAGCTATGATCGCATGAGATCCACAATTTCTCGGCGACATGCATATATCAAAAGTTCGCAAAAGCGTGGCTCTCGGATCGAGACGTTCTTCTTTCTCTCTCTCTCTCTCTCTCTCTCTCTCTCTCTCTCTCTCTCTTTCTCTCTCCGTATATATATCCGCATAATAAATCTTCCGGCCGACCGAGTTTCTCGTAATCCAATTAAGATTTTCGCGACTCTGTCCTCATCCTTTCACATCAATTACTGCAGCGATCCTGACTTAAAATTGCGGGCGCCGCTAAAGTCATCACGGAGCATCATACGCGCGAGTTTTCCGACGACAACGCGGAGTCGAGGATCGCCTAAGAGCCTTGGGCTTCTTCTCCAGTCGCAAGCCTTTGTTAGAAAGGGGTTAAATCGTGCTATATATATATACATCGAAGGGTGACCGGCGGCGGTGAGTGAAATCGATCGTTGAAGGACCGAGAAGACTCGTTCTCTTTCATGCGCACGCACATCGTGCATGATACGCGCGGTAACGGTGTCTCGTATACTCTACGTACAATCCACGTGTGCAAAACGCGGAAATAACAGAAATACTCGCATCGGAAAAAGGGAACTGTGTGTTGAAGCAGAATCTGGGATGTTGCCGTCAAATAAACGTATTTTTTTATTGGACAAGGACGTTAGGCAATTTTGGGAAATGTTTTGTTTCCACGTCCCCTCGTGGACAATGCGATTTTCATTGTTATAAATCTTTATACTCTGCCTAAAAATATTTATTATTGTATTAGTATAGTTTTCGCGTGTATTTGTTAGATTTAAATTAGATTTTAGTTTTTTTTTTGT